TGCCTTTTGGGTGGACAGAGCTTATGGGAATGTTTTTAGTGAGGTGACGCATGATTCTTCCCGTTCAACTTTAGGCCTAGAGGCTTGACCCAGTGGCTCCAGCCTGAGCGCCTCCAGCCTGAGCTCTGGCCTCCTTCTACCCTGTGCTAATGCCATTTCTCAAGGACCCCAAGAATAATGGGGTATTGCATTCTTGTACCTCACCTTAGCCTGCTCTGCTCATGATAGTCCAAGAGACACAATGCCAGCACCACCCTCTGGTCCAATGAAAATGGTTGTTTTGTGGGGGGTGGGTTTCTGAGCCCAGGATCGACGTTCTTAGGGCACATTTCCACTCAGAGGAGGGACAGGACATGCATGTTAAGGCCACTGGGAGCCATGCCTCTCCATGGGCACCCCACGAACTTGTTTCATTTTCTTTGAACTTTCTTTTTGCTTTTTAAAATTTTTTTAATTATGTGTTTTGTCTTTTAATTTCCCTTGAGAAATAGTTGTCTGTGGCTCATAGGTCGGTGGTCGAATTTATGTGACATTTGCCCCAGATCTTGACAGACAAGTCCCGGGAGGGGCGGCTGAGGGGGACGGTGTAGAGTGGAGTCGCTGATAAGTCAAGGGTTTCTTCTTGGGTGATGAATGTTCCAAAGTGGTAGTGATCGCACAGCTGTGATTGACTAAGACCATTGCACATCAGGAGGCGACTGGCACGCAGCTATATCAGGAGAGCTGTGGCACATGTTGTATGGAGGTTAGTGCATCTTGCCTACATTTAATAGGGTTTATTGACATCCTGTACATCACGTTGAGCGTGCCCTTATCCATCCTGCATGCCGCCCTTCTTGAGTTCTGTCTGGGCCATGGGATCATCTCTTCCCTGGCCCCAGGCAGACATGATCCCCCTGTCCCCATTCCCCTCTTCCCTAGTCCCAGGCAGCCATGTCCTCCCTGTCTCCATTTCCCTCTTCCCTGGCCCCGGGCAACCACGTCCCTCTGTTCTTGTTCCCCTCTTCCCTGGCTTTGGGCAGCCATGTCCCACTTGTCACCATCCCCCTCTTCCCTAGTCCCAGACAAGCCATGTCCCCTCTGTCTCCATTCCCTCTTCCTTGGCCTCGGGCAGCCATATCCTCCTGATATCTGTCCCTGTTTTCCCTGTCCTGGGCAACCATGCTTCCCTGTCCCCATCTCCCTCTTCCCTGGTCCCAGGCAGCCACGTCCTCCCCGTCCTCATTTCCCTCTTTCCTGGTCCCAGGCAGTCATGTCCCTCCTATCCCCATCTCCCTATCCCCATCCCCTTCTTCCTTGTCCTAGGTAGTCATGTCTCCCCTGTCCTTGTCCTCCCTGTTCCCGTCCCCCTCTTCCATGGTCCCAGGCAGCCACATCTCCCTGTCCCTGTCATCCCTGTACCACCCACACATGCTGCACCAGTGGGGATCTCCCAAGGCAGGTCTTTCTTCACATGCCCACAGCAGTAGTCCCCAGCAGTGACATGAACCAGAAGCTTGGAGGGCAGGTGATGGCCTCCATCTTCTAGGTGGCTTCCTTTCTGTTGATCGCAGGAATGCAACTCACCTCTCTTTTGTTCTTGTCTCTGTAGTCACTCTGCAAGTCACCCCAACACGTAGGACTTGGAGAATGTTTATTTTGTATTTTGCAAAATGTATTTGGTTTGCCTTTTGGTTGAGCTTGGCAGGGACAGCTGGTCTCTGCTGTCCTTGGTGGCAGCTTGGGAGGCTAAAAGCTGGGAGTCGACTCTGAAGCTCATTCACTTGCCTGCATGAGTGTGTCCTCTCTGTCTCTGTCTCTCTGCCCTTCTGTCTCTTTTTCTCATTCTTTCCCTCTCATTCACTGACTTACTAGCCATTAGCCAGGTCCTCGGCCAGACTTTCTGCTGGGACCCCCACTGTGGCCTCCCCACTTGGCCTCTCTACATGGCCTCCCCATGTAGCCTGGGTTTCTTTACAACATGGCGCCAGGTCCCAAATGTAAACTTCCTGTGAGAGAAGCAGGCAGAGGCTACATATTTTTTTATCACCCAACCTTGGAAATCAGAGTGTTGCTTCTGCAGTTGGAGCAATCACCAAACCCACTGCAATCAAGGAGACAAACACTCCTCATGATGGGAGTGTTGTGGTTCTCAGGAAAACGGAAATGTTGCTGGGCTGCTTTTGGACTGGAGCACATGTTGTACAGATTTGTGGAAATGTGTGATTATTGCAGACATGCCTCAGTGGTCTTTCAGCTCCAGAACTCTCTCTTCCAGTCAGTCCTGCGCTAATGTGGATTTAGCCACATGCCATCCAAGGCTGGAGCACAAGAGTCACAGGTGATGTGGCTCTGAGCCATGCCTCCTTCTCAGAGTGTTGCTTCCCGCCACCCAGCAACTCCACAACCATGGGTGCTCGCACATCTGGGCCCTCACCTCAGCCATGCCTGCATTGAGTGTCTTCAGGTATGCAGCAGTGTCCTGCTTGTCAGTGTCACATGGTCAAGCCTGGATGGGAGCAAGACACAAAGTACATTTTTGTACTACTGAGCCGTTCCACCTCAGTAGTCCCCTTTCCTACATCCTCCCACCGTTCCTCCCTTATGGATCTTGGACCTCAGAAGAGGTGCCAATGGATCCTGAAATTGGTCAAGTCCAAGCAATGGAAGGGAAGAACTGGAAACCCAGCAACCCTGGGTGGTGGGAACCCGTGATCCAGGAGGTGGTGCCAGGGGAGGAGGGCAAAGGGAGGAGACTGCATATTCTGGGACGTGTTGGTTGGTAAACCCTCACATTTGGTGGCTGCTCTGTCCTGTGAGTAGAGCAGTACCCTGAGTCCGTGGCAGAGGGCAGAGGTCGTCTGGTATTTGTTTTTAGCTGTTTACTTGTAAAAGTTGTCGTTTATATTGCCCAGAGCAGGCGACACATGACCTTTGATCTCACCTCTGCTTTCTGATCCCAGGACTCCTCTGAGTCTCTTATATTTCAGCCACCTTCAATCCCAAAGCCCACGAAGCTTTGAGAGACCTCTGGAACATGATCTGTCTTCCAAGGCAACACAGAGTCTTTGTCCCAGTGCAGCGCAGAGTAGAGGGGGATCCAACCTGTTGTTCTGGGTGCTGGTGCTGGGCTTGGTGGGTGTCCAGTCCTGGAGAATGTGCTGGTCTTTTGGGAGTGCCCTGTTTGGGCATGCTCCTCACTGAGTGTCCATGTCGCATTGTCTCTGTACAGTGTGCATATCAAATTCACCAGCTGTCCTTTTCCTTGAGTGTACTCCGAAAACAACTTGGTCAAGAAATCTCCTGAAAGTTTTGACTCTGGGACAACTATGAGGGGGGAACTGAAAAAAAAACCTAGAATTATATTTTAGAGGGTAGGCCTCTTGTAATATAGGCTTCCCGTGCTAGGTGAATGTCTTAGGAATCCATCAGCATCAGTGTACCAGCAAGTATTGTTGTGAGAGGCTGCATTCAACTTCAGTGAATTTTTCTTGGAGATTCTTTCAATGCATTTGCCCATTTCATGATGGGTGATTTACACAAACAATGTGTGACAGTAAAATTTTGTGTTCTGTTGGGGAAAAATGCAGTGGAAATGGTTGTTATGCTACAGACAGCTTACAAAGGCCTGCTCTGAGTAAAACACACGTTTACAAATGGTTTTCCTGTTTTAAACAAGAAGAAATGTCAATTGACCATCAACTTTGTTCTGGGTGTCCCTTGAACAACTGAACTTTAAAAATGTGGTAAGAATTTGTCATTCCATCTTGGAAGACCGCTGTTGGACTGCTTATTCGGGTATGGAGTTCCTATCAGCGAATTTTATCTGAAGATTTGGGCATGAAGCAAGTTTCAGCAAAATTTGTGCCTCACTTGCTCACGCCTGAACAAAGAGACAATCGCTTGGCTGCATGCTGTGCTTTAAAGGAACAGTTGGAGACTGACCTGACTTTCTTTTCAAAGTCATAAGCAAAGATGAATCTTGGTGCTACAGTTACAACCCCAAAATGAAACAGCAGTCTAGCCAGTGGAAAACTGCCACCTCCTCATGACCCAGAAAAGCATGGCAAGTGAAGTCAAATGTGAAAACAATGATCATTTGTTTTTGATATGAGAGAGATTGTGCACTCAGAATTTGTTCCTCCAGATCAAATGATCAACCAGTTTTTATCTGGAATTTTTGAGAAGGTTGCATCACAATTTCTGGAAGAAATGTCCTGAGTTGTGGCAAACAGGTGATTGGTTCTTCCACCATGACAACATACCTGCCCACACAGCGCTGAGTGTTCAGAAGTTTTTGACCAAGAAACATCATGACCCCTGGGCCCACCCCTTCTATTCACCTGATCTCGCCCTAAGCAACATTTTTTTTGTTTCTCTGGATTAAAAAAAAGTCCTCAAAGGGAAACCTTTTGCCACTGTGGAAGAGGTGAAACAAAAAATGGCAGAAGCACTAAGAGGCATCAAAATCTATGAATTCAAAGACAGTGGAAAAAGCATCTCAATGGGTGTATTGCATGAAATGGAGAGTACTTTGAAAGTGACTGAAGTTTAAACATGTAAGAATAAGTACACAATTTTTATAAGCAAATTTCAGATTTTGGGGGGTTCCCCTCATACATAGCAACCAAAGCTTGCATACATAAGAGTTCCTAGGGAAGAGTGGAGTGGGGTCTGTCGCATTGCTTTCTGTCAGCATAGCGCACACATGGTGGCTTCATGCTGCCTTGACCTGAGAAATGAAAGGAACAGGTGGTAACTTTGAATTTTTTGGCCCAAATTTTCTCTCTTTATCCCCACTCACTTTGTTATGATGTTGGAAGAGGGTAGGTTTGGAGGAAAATAGCTCAGGGAGTGAATTTTCTAAAGCACATCAACCAAAATATTGTGGTCTTTCTGTTCCAATTTTTTAAAAAAAAGAAATACAAAAAGTGCTGGGAAACACAGCCGTTTACCAGTGTTAAAACCAGTTTGTTTCTGTCTTTTTCCCCCCTGTTTCTTTCTCTCTTTTAAAAATGTAGCTACAGATAGTAAGGATGAAGAAGTCAAAGTCACCTCAAGGCGGTCCTTTCTGGGTACGTACCATGCTGCATGAGGCTGTCACTAAAACATTTGTTTTATTTCATTCTTTGCAACTTTGCTCCCTCTCTGTCCTTAACCTTCATCCGTGCATGTCACTCATTATAGTGTGTGTGGCCACGTCTACAGCAAACTAATCAACCTATAACACTGCTGTTTTCAAGCATGACATAGTTCTCAGACGCCTGCCCATTTCCTGTGTGTGTGAGAGAGAGGAGATGGAAAGAGGGAGGGAGGCAGGAAGGATAAAATTTCAGATGACAAGATTTGGACTTTTGGAATTTATTTGGAATTTTGGAATTTATTCCAAAATTTTGTATTCTTTTTGATACTATTTTAGATAGAATTGTTTTCTTAATTTAATTTTGGATTGTTGATTGCTACTTTGTAGAAGTACAATCAGTTGTTGTATATTGATCTTGTATTGTGCAACTTTGCTGAACTCAATAGTTCTAGTAGCTGTTCAGTAGATTCCTTAGTATTTTCGACATAAGATTCTGTCATCTGCAAATAGAGAGTTTTAATTTTTCCTTTCCAATTAAGTTGCTTTTTATTTCTTTTTCTTGCCTAATTAATCTGGTTAGAGTGAATATGCTTGTCTTGTTCTTGATGTTAGTGAGAAGGCATTTGGTCTTTTATCATTAAGTATGATGCTGGTTATGGATTTTCCATAGTTACCCTTTATTGGGTTAAGGAAATTTCTTCTATTCTGACTTTGTCAGATGAGTATATTGTGAAAGAGTATTGGAGTTTATCTGTTGAGATGATCATGTGGTTTTGTCTTTTTTACTGTTATTATGGTATATTATATAGATTGATTTTTGTATGTTGAACCAACCTTGCATTCTTGGGATACATCTCATTTGATTATGGTATATAATGCTTTTTATCTGTTGCTGGATTCTATTTGCTATTATAGTATTATATTGTGGATTTTTTGGTGACCATATTGGTAAGAGATAATCTGTAGTATTCTTGTGATAACTTTGTCTAGTTTTAATATTAGGACAATACTGGCTTTATAAAATAAGTCCTAGCCGGGCTCAGTAGCTCAGCCTGTAATCCCAGAGTTTTTGGAGGCTGAGGTGAGTGGATTGCCTGAGCCCATGGGTTCAAGACCCGTCTGGGCAACTTGGCAAGACCTCATCTCTACAATAAATCAAAAATTAGCTGGGCGTGGTAGCACACGCCTGTAGTTCCAGCTACTTGGAAGGCTGAGGCGGAAGGATCGCCAGAGCCCAGCAGGTCAAGGCTGCGGTGGCCAGAGCGGCCACTGCACTCCAGTCTGGGCAATGGAGTGAGATTCCAACTCAAAAAAATAAAAAAAATACAAAAAAAAAAGTCCTTTTCTTCTTTTTAAAAGAGTTTGTGAAGGATTGATATTAACTCTTCTATATATACTTGGTAGAATTATCCAGTGAAACTATCTGGGCCTGGGCTTTTCTCTGTGGGAAGTTTTTAAAATTATTAATTCAATCTCTTGATATAGGTCTGTTTAGATTTTCTGTTTCTTTCTGAGTCAGTTTTGGTCTTTTGTCTCTGTTGGAATTTGTCTATTTCACTTAAATGATCTAATTTGTTGCCCTACAATTTTTTTTAGTATTCTTTTATAATCCTTTTTATTTCTGTTAGGTTATTAGTAATGGTCCCTCTTTCATTCCTGACTTTAGTAATTTGAGTCCCTCCCTCTTTTGTTGTCAGTCTAGTAAAGCTTTGTCAGTTTTATTGCTCTTGTCAAAAAACAACTTTTGGTTTTGTTGATTTTATTTATTTGTGACTATTCTAAATTTATTTCTCTTATTGATTTCTAATTTATTTGCATTGTAGTTGTAGAACTTACTTTATATGATTCCAGTATTTCTTTTTTTTTGAGTTGGGGTCTCACTCTGTCCACCAGGCTGAAGTGCAGTGGTGATACTGTGTGCAGTTCACCAAAACCTTGAACTCCTGGGCTCAGGTGATCCTTCTGCCTCAGCCTCCTGTGTAGCTGGTACTACAAGCGCCTCCTTGACACCAAGGATAATTTTTTGATTTTCTATAGAGAAGAGGTCTTGCTATGTTGCCCTGTCTTATCTTGAACTCCTGGGCTCAATAAATCCTCTAATCTTAACCTCCCAAAGTTCTGGGAATACAGGTGTGAGCCCCCACTCCCAGCCTGATTCCAGTGTTTTAAAATTGAGACTTGTCTTGTGGCCCAAGCATGTAGTCTATCCTAGAGAATATTCTACGTGCACTTGAAGAGGATGTATATTTTCCTGTTGTTGGGTAAAAGTGGAGGGTTGTCTGTTAGGTCAGATCTTCTGTTTTCTTATTACTCTTTTGCCTAGTTGTTATGTCCTTTACTAAATGGGGGTGTTGAAGTCTCCACCTGTTTTTGCATTATCTTTTTCTTTTTTTTTTAACTTCTTTCAGTTTTTGCCTGTTATATTTTGAGGCACTGTTGCTAGGTGTGTCTATGTTTATAGTTATATATTTCTGGATTGGCTCTTTTGTCATCATAAGAATTCTCTTTTTAGCTCTAGTAATATATTTTTTTGTGTGTTTTAAAGTCCATTTTTTCTGATATTAGCGTAGCCACTGCAGATCTCCTATGGTTGCTATTTGAATGGTATATCTTTTTCCATTCTTTAACTTTTAACTTTTTTTGTGCCAATGAATCTAAAGTAAGTCTCTGTAGATAGCATATAGTGAGTCATCTAGAAAATTCATTCTGGCATTTCTGCCACTTAATTATTTGATTCACATTTAATGTTCTGGTATGTTTGAGTTTATATCTACCATTTTACTTTTTGTTTTCTACATGTCTCATGTCTTTTCCCTCCCAATTTTTGCTCCTTTACAGCCTTCTTTTGTATTAAGCAAATATTTTCTAGTGTAGCATTTTAATTCATGTAATTTTTAAAAACTATATATTTTTTAGTTATTTTCGTAGTAGTTACTCTTGGGCTTACAGTGAATCAATTTGTCAGAATCTACTTGAAATTTATGCTAACTTAATCTTAGTGAGAAATAGAAACCTTACTCCTTCATAGTTCTATTCCCTTCCTTTAAAAAATGGTATGATTATTATACATATGTCTAATATGTTACAAATGTTACTATATATTGTTCTAATTGTTTCTGTATATAAATTTTATGTCTTTCAATGAAGTTGAGAGAAGAAAGGAGAACAAGCATATATTTACAGTTCTTAGGTTAACCTTTTTATTTACCATTTCTGGTTCTCTTCATTTCTTTCTGTGAATTTGAGTTACCATCTGCAGTCATTTCCTTACTGCAATACAATTTTGATCCCACCCATCTCATTTGTGCTGTTATTGTCAAATATATTGCATTTCTGTATGTTAAAGGTCCTGGAATCCTGCAATGCATATTGTTTTATGCAGTTGCTTTTTAAGTCAGCTAATAGAGGAAAAGAGAAATGTGTATTTACATTGTCTTCTGCAATGACTTACATAGTTACCTTTGCCTATACTCTTTGTTTTTTTCACATGGATTTGAATTACATCTGATGTCACTTGCTTTCAGCATGAAGAACTTGTGTTTTCTGTAAGGTGGGTCTGCAACACATTCTCCCAGGTTTCGTTTATCTGGGAATGTCTTTGTTCCCCTCACCCCCCTTTTTTAAGGTTTTCTAGATGTTAGAATCTTGGTTGACAGTTTTTTTTCTTTTCAGCACTTTGAATATATTATCCCACTACCTTCTGGACTCCATTATTTCTGATGAGAAGTCAGCTGTTAATCTTGTTGGGGTTTCCTTGTAAGTGATACATTATTTTTCTCTTGCTGCTTTCAAGATTTTGTCTTTTTTTTTTTTTGGCATTCAACATTTAGACTGTGATGTGTCAGGGTGTGGCTTTCTTTGTGTTTACCATGCTTTGAATTTGTTGAGATTCTTGGGTATGTAGATTAATATTTTCCTCATATTTGGAAAGTTTTCAGTCATAATTTCCTTGAATATTTTTCCTGCTCCTCTCTCTCTTTCCTTTAGTACACCCATTTTGCATATGCTGGTAACTTAGTGTTGTTCCATATTTCTCTGAGGCTCTGTTCATTTTTCTTATTTCTGTTTTCTCTTTGTTTTTCAGGCTATGCAAGCTTTATTGATCTTTCTTTAAGTTCACTGATTCTTCTGCAAGCTCAAATCTGTTGTTGAGCCCTTATAGTGAGTTTTTACATTTTGGTTTTACTTTGCAACTCCAGAATTTCCATTTGGTTATTTTTTTATAACTTCTGTCTCTTTATTGATATTCTCTATTTGATGAAAAGTTGTCGTTTCTTTGAACATATTTATAATAGCTGTTTTGAAGCATTTTTCTGCCAAATCCAATGATCTGTGCCTCTTTGAAAGCAGTTTTGTCCTGCTTTTTTTTCTCCTGTGATCACATTTTCCTGTATCTCTGCATAGCTCAAATTTTTGGTTGCACACTGGACATTTTAGGTAAAATATTGTAGCAACTGTGGATATTGATACCCACTTGGGGGTAGGGTGACTTATTGCCTGCTCATTTGTTTTGTGACTTGGCTGGACTGGTGCAGTCTCTGACCTTTTCTCCCCCCGGGCATGGTGGTGATTCTGGCTGCTGTGATTCTCCCTGGACCACCCTGTGAATCTCCTGGGTGGTCTGCCCCCATTGGTATCACACTCTGCTGCTGGTCCCTACTAGTTTCCAGCTGATTTGGTGATGCCCTGGGGCATGAACTTCTCCATGGCTGGGCAGGACCAATGTTGAGACCAGTCTGACAGTTGCTCTGTCCCAGGATGGCTCCTTTCAGCTGCCTTCCAGGTTCTGTCTGTTTGTGGAGGATCTTTTTTTTTTTTTTTCCAGCACCTTGAAGTTAGGACTTGCCCATGCTCTGCTTTAAGTCATCCCTTTAGGGAAAGCTGTGGAGCTCCCTGTTCTCCCCCATACCCATGGCAGACCCTACCCTGGTGCTGTGGCAGGTAAGCAGTCAGCCTTTTGGGGCAACACCCTTGCCCTGAGCGTCAGGGGGTTGTAGCCTATGGGTTCCTTAGTTTGCCTCTTGGTGTGGAACGTCACCCTGTGAGTGAGCTGAGGCAGGGATGATGGACACCCAGTATTTTCTGCCCCCGTGCCTGAGTGGGGCTGGGTGGAGGGCCAGGGCAGACAGGTGCTGAGCAAGCAGGTGACAGATGCTGGCACTCTCTGAGAGGTTGTTACCTGCACTGGTGTGGCAGAGAGAAAGCCCCGTCTTCTCGGCTGCCCCACCTGGAGTAGAGCTTTTGTCACCCAGGGAGCAGGTTGTGGCTCACGTGGTTCCTACTGCCATTGAGAAGGTTTTCTTGCATACATGTTTCTCTGTTTGCTGTGTAACCTTGAGATGCACCCCAGAGACTCTAAGTAGTTGTTTTTTGTAGTGTTCACATGGTGGTTGTCTTGCTGGAGAGGGTATCTGTGGAGACCCTCGTACTGCTGTACAGGAGGTGCTGTTCCTTGCATTTTGACCCAACTGAAATCCTGGTGGCTGGAATGTCAAAGAATGTCTCAGGCCAGGAAAGCAATGTGCTTTTGTATTTTTATTTAACAGCAGCATTAATGAGTAAATCAGTGGCTTTGGGCATGCTCTGCTGGTTTAGTGTGGAGTGGGCACATGGAACGTTGGCACTAGGTAGCCCCAAAACTTCAATTTTATTTATTTATTTATTTTATTTTTATTTTTATTTTTTATTTATTTATTTATTTATTTTTTGAGTTGGAGTCTCACTCTGTCGCCCAGACTGGAGTGCAGTGGCCGCTCCCGGCCACCGCAGCCTCGACCTGCTGGGCTCCGGTGATCCTTCCACCTCAGCCTTCCAAGTAGCTGGAATTACAGGCATGCGCTACCACGCCCGGCTGATTTTTTCATTTATTGTAGAGATGAGGTCTCGCTGCCCAGGCGGGTCTCGAACCCGTGGGCTTAAGCAATCCACTCACCTCAGCCTCCCAAAGGCGCGGGATTATAGGCTGAGCCACCGAGCCTGGCAAAACTTCAATTTTAAAGTGATTGGGGAAAACTGGATTCCAGTGGCACCTGGGCTGGGGCTCAGGGGCTGTTTCTGCTGTGCATTACGACATGTTTGTTTTGTGATTTAACACAGATGCTGTTTAGGCTGAGGCCATGGCCTGGTGGACCTGTAGTCCTGGCCTCTTATCATCTTGTCGGGTGACCACTGGAAACTCAGCAACAGGGCCTGGAGGCTTTGTCAGGGACATACAGGGGAAAGGCCCCTGAAATGAGAGGAGGCTGGATGGCAAGAGGCCACCTGCAGAGGCTGGACTCCGCTCTCACTGTGGTGGCTGCAGGAACTGGCGTCTCGGGTTCTTGTGTAGCTCTGTGTGAGGGCTTGTCTGTTCCACTTCAGATTTAAAGAAGGTACTGGTCTCTGTCATTGGTGGTTCTGTCTTTGTCAAGCGGGGGTTGCTGTAAGTTCCCAGATTCCCTTTGAAAGCTACTGGGCATTGGTGATAAGGCTGTTTCCTCTCATAGGTAAGACACACTCAGTCCTGGCCCTGCCTTTCCAGCCCATGGGTGGGTGGGCTTCGTTGGACCCTCCGAAGGTCTCTGGGTCTCCTTGTGTCCCCTGCCATCCACCTCTGTCTCTGTGCCAGCTCTCTGTAGGAGGATAGCATTGGGTGGACAGAATTGTGCAGATCTGCAGAGGAGACCCAGGCCTGGAGGCTGAGGAGGGCATTTGTGTGCATCCTGCAGCAGACATGAGGCGATTTTGTTTAGCACCCTTTGGTGTCCCTGGTCTAAGGATGAAGCAGAAGTTGAGGTTGGCCATGAAGGTGTGGGTCCCATGGCCTTATAGCTGCCTGTCTGTCTTCCCACGTACTCCATGCCCTCAGGTCCCCTCCAGGTGGGTTCCTGTCAGCAGCTCTGGGCCTGGCTGCCCCCCTTGTTGGGGGTCCACATGTCTAGGAGAGGTGTTACCTGCACCCAATTGTAGCAGGATGAAGATGCAGACATAGTGGGAGGGGCAGGGAGGGAGCCCCAGCAGCAACTCCACAAAGGCCAGGGGTGAGCTCGGACCAGGCTCTGAGGGAGGGGCAAGGTTTTCATTTTCTGATGGAGAGTTTATTTTTTAAAATAGACTCATGCGTATGAAGCCGGGCTCGGTGGCTCAGCCTGTAATCCCAGCACTTTGGGAGGCTGAGGTGAGTGGATTTCCTGAGTCCGTGGGTTTGTGACCCACCTGGGCAACTTGGTGAGACCTTATCTCTACATAAAATAAAAACTTAGGCTGGGCTCAGTAGCTCAGCCTGTAATCCCGCGCCTTTGGGAGGCTGAGGTGAGTGGATTGCCTGAACCTGCAGGTTCAAGACCCGCCTGGGCAGCGAGACCTCATCTCTACAATAAATCAAAAAATCAGCCGGGTGTGGTAGCGCGCGCCTGTAGTTCCAGCTACTTGGAAGGCTGAGGTGGAAGGATCGCCGGAGTCCAGCAGGTCGAGGTTGCGGTGGCCGGGAGCGGCCACTGCACTCGAGTCTGGGCGACAGAGTGAGACTGCAACTCAAAAAAAAAGAAAAAAAAGAAAAAAAAAAATTAACTGGGTGTGGTAGTGCATGCCTGTAGTTCCAGCTACTTGGAAGGCTGAGGCGGAAGGATTGCCGGAGTCCAGCAGGTCGAGGCTGCGGTGGCCGGGAGCGGCCACTGCACTCCAGTCTGGGCGACAGAGTGAGACTCCAACTCAGAAACAAAGCAAAACAAAAAAACAAAATACACATGAAAATGGGAGTATGATACGGTTTAGTCACCGATTTGATGCGTGATGACACCCAAATCTTTTAGTACACGTTTCCCCAATACAGGATGTTCTTCTCTGTCACTCCCCTCTAGTGTCCACACTGGGTGGGGGGCCTTGATGCACCACCACCTTCCAGCGTCCACACTGGATGTTGGCCTTGACACACCACTACCCTCTGTGTCCATACTGGTTGGCGACCTTGAGGCACCACCCCCTTCCAGCATCCACACTGAGTGGTGGCATTGATGCAGCACCACCGTCCAGTGTCTACATTGGGTTATGTCCTTGATGCATCACCACTGACCAGTCCTGACCCTAGACATCTCCCCAACCATCTTATTGTCATCCTCTTAGAACATGAGCCTCGGAATCTGCCTCCCTATGCCAAATTCTGTGACCCAGACCCCCTAGAGATGAATACCAGTGAGGCGCTGTGGTTTCTCAGGCTCCCTGGCAGTTGGTGCCGCTCCTTCTCTTCTACTCACTTGCCTTCATGGTTGCTGTGAGTTTCTGGGGATGTAAATGCTTCATTCAATGAGCAGACTGTTCCTTATGTCCTCATCATCTAGAACAGACCATGTTGTGTTTGAAAAGGATATGGGGATTTGGAAACACAGCATTTTTATTTAATTAGTAATCGCTGAAACCTCTCTGGTTCTTGGGAAAGCTATTTTTCGGACTAATAGGGTCCCAGCTGAGGGGAGATGGCTTTGGTTGCCCGCCAGCTTTTCTCTCATTTAATTTCTTCTCTCCACTCGTAAGGATCATGTTGTGCTGCTGGGATTACTCCCTCCGTCAACCATCTAGTGTTCTTCCTGCTTCTGTAGCCTAATTGCCTGACCAGGAAGTTTAGAATTCTTAAATGACCTGTCTTTCCCTTGTTGGTTTAAAAAGACAGAAAGAATGTAGAAGATTGCTATTGCTGCCTGTCTAGAGCTGTCACTTATCCTGGGTCTGTCGTTCTGGATAGTCTATGGCCCTGGAGGGTCTCCAGGCCCTGGAGGGTCTGT